GCCCCAGGCCCCGGCCCCCCGCCACCAGTGGCCATCCCCACCAACTCTTCTCAGGAATGGCCCCCGTGTCCCACTGGACCCGGAACCAATGTGGCAAGCCCCCCAGAGGACCCTGAGGAGCCCCGAGACAGCAGGCCGAGGCCGTGCCATGGCAGGGGCCCTGGCGAGGCATGCGAGGGGGCCCCTGGTAGCCAGACGGACGGCAGAAACCAGCCCCGGACCCTGGGCCCCCTGCTCACGATTAGAAGAGTGAAGAGTGAGGGGCAGGTGCCCACAGAGCCCCTGGCTGGGCCCTTCCCGGCCCCTGCCGTGTACTCCGACGCCACAGGCAGTGACCGGCTGTGGCAGCGGCTGGAGCCACATGGCCACCGAGACAGTGTTTCTTCCTCTTCCAGCATGTCATCTAGTGACACTGTCATCGACCTCTCCCTGCCCAGTTTGGGCCTGGGCCATAGCCGAGAGTGTCTCGCCGGAGGCCCTGTGGGACGCCTGCCCCCCAGGCCCCACTTGCCTTCAGCTGCCCGCCCAGACCTGCCACCAGTGACCAAGAGCAAATCCAACCCTAACCTGCGGGCTGCAGGCCAGCGGCCTCCCACGCCTGAGGACCCGCGGCCCAGGCCCCTGGCTCCACGGATGCCCGGCCTCCCGCTCCGGCCACCCTGGGGCCGCCTCTCCCTGGGGAGCCTGCAGGACTGCCCGGTGGCTGCCAAGTCCAAGAGCCTGGGGGACCTCACTGCAGATGACTTTGCCCCCAGTTCTGAGGGTGGTTTCCACAGCCTGGGCCTCCCGCAAGGGGCGCAGCGGGTGTTGGGGCCAGGGGCGAGGCGGGACATCCTGACGGAGCAGCTACGCTGGCTCACGGTCTTCCAGCAAGCGGGAGATATCACATCTCCCACCAGCCTGGGTGCAGCCGGGGACGGGGTGGCAGGGGGCCCTGGTTTTCTGCGGCGCTCATCCTCACGCAGCCAGAGCCGTGTGCGCGCCATCGCCAGCCGTGCCCGCCAGGCACAGGAGCGGCAGCAGAGACTGCAGGGCCGGGGCCGGCAGGGACCCCCCGAGGAGGAGCGGGGCACCCCCGAGGGTGCCTGCTCTGTGGGCCGTGAGGGCAGGGTGGACGCGCCAGCTCCCTCCAAGGGAGCGCCTGGACCAGCATCTGCAGCTACAGAGAACCTGGTCCTGCTCCGCCTCTGACCCGGTCCCTGGCGGGAACCCGGGTGGCTGTGGAGGCCCGGGGCACGGGCGGGTGTGTTTCATTTGCTCAGGAAATGGGGCGGCCAGGCCCCCACAACTGTGTCCCAGCTGCCCTCTGTGTCCCCTCAGCCCCTGCTCCAGGGAGTAAAGGCTAAAGCTGCCGGCCCAGGGCCCACAGGAGGGTGCTTCGAGTCTGGCTCCGCCAGGCAGTCTTCCTGGCGTTTTAGGATCTATACACAGAGAAATATTTAAATTTTTAGAAGCAAAACTTACACAATATTAAAATGATACTGAGCCCCTTTCCACTTTTACGTGGTTTTCCTCCCTGGACATGTGTGCTGTGTGTCAGCCTGCACCTGTTCTGGGCCCGCCCTGGGAGACACAGCTGACCTGGCCACAGTGCAGGCTGCTCAGGACGCTGCCTGGGCCTTGCCCTGAAGCCCACATCCACCTTGCTCTGACGACGCCACGCTCTACACCCGCTAAGCCTCTGTAAACTCCCAAACGTGGCTCGGATGAGTGTGCTCGCCAGCACAGATCGGCTTCCCCGCTTGCTTGGCCTCCTGCGCCACTCACCAGCTGCCCGTCAGCCTTTGCCAGGCCCGTCCTCAGAGGGCTGAGCTGGACAGGCTCTGGGGTGGGCTGCAAAGCCCACTCCTCAGGGCACAGGCCCTGACCCCAGGCCACAGCAACCCTGGGTCCTGGCAGCTGCTCTGAGGCCTCAGAGCACGGCGGTTCTAGAAGGCCCCTCGAGGGAGAAGCTGGGGTGATGGTCGCACCCCAGGGCAGCCTGTGCTGCAGGCTGTCCTCTGTTGCCCCAGCAGTGGGAGCAGGTGTGGCCCATTCCATGGCCAGGAAGTCAGAGAGTGTCCTGCCCCGTGAGGCTCTGTCACCTGCTGCTGCCCGCGGGCCCCGCCCAGCACCCCGAGAAGCGCTGCTCTGTCAGGGTGTCCTGGCTCACCCCTGGCTGTGTCCCACCTAGGTGGGACCCTCGGGAAGTTGGGCCTGGAGCCTAGGGTAGCTCTTGGGGGGGTGGGGCTGCTCTGCCCTCACCATATTCCTGCACTGGCATCTCGGGCGACCACAGGAACCGCTACCCCAGCTCAGCCAGGCAGAGGGGCCACCGGTGCCACCTCCCCCGAACCCCTCTGAGCCCCACTGGCCAGACTTCTCATCCTTGAGCCCCGGGCCATTTGCACGTGGGCAGCTGTGGCCCCACCGAGCATGGGGATGAGATGGGCTGGTTGCCTGGGGCCCAGGGTGGCACCTGAGCCTAAGGAGTCTCAGCTCTGCCAATGGGACTCACAGAGCTCCCGGGTGGTGACACTGACAGTGCCTGGTGACCGAGGCCTCCTGCTGAGCCCTCGAGTGGTGCCATGGGCAGGGCAGGGCTGGGGGAGCCAGCTGGGGTCTGCAGGAGTGAAGGAAGGGCTGACAGCTCGGGCCAGGTCGTCTTGGCGAAAGCCCCCTCAAAATGGCCACATTGGGCCGGGCACAGTGGCTCACACCTGCAATCCCAGCACTCTGAGAGGCCAAGGTGGGTGGATCACCTGAGGTTAGAAGTTTGAGACCAGCCTAACATGGCGAAACCCCGTCTTTATTAAAAAAAAAAAAAAAAAATTAAAAAATTAGCCGGGTGTAGTGGCGGGTGCTTGTAACCCCAACTACTCTGGGACTGAGGCAGGAGAATCACTTGGACCCGGGAGGCAGAGGTTGCACTGAGCCATGATTGTGCCATTGCACTCCAGCCCCGACAACAAGAGACCTTGACTCAAAAAAAAAAAAAAAAAAAAAAAAAAAAAAAAAAAAAAAAAAAAACAAAAAAAACCACGTTGAAACAAGGCAGAGCCCTCCTGCTCCACCTGGGGTCACAGAGGCTGGGGGCTACCCGCAGGCACAGGGGTGCCTGGCTCATAGGCTGGGCAGCCCCTTGGGCAGGCAGACCCTGCATGGGGGTGTGCAGGGGCTCCTGAGCTGGGCACTGGTGTGCTGGTCCCAGGTCTTTTCATCCAGGCCTCTGTGCACCCCCACCTCCTCCTAGGCGTCCTGCCTGAGCCAGGATCTGGCCTAACCTCTGCAGTGGGCAAGGCCCCTAGCGTGGATGGACTCTCTGGCCCTGGGGCAGCCCTGTGGGCGTCAGGCTGGGCAGGCGCAGTGCTGCCACCACCACCAGTGAGGGCAGGGCCAGGACAGGGGCAAGAGCTGGAGGGGCTGAGTGGGGGCAGCAGAGGCTACACAGAAGCAGGCTGGGAGGGCCTCCCTGGCAGAAAGCGGGGCCCCAGGAGAGAGCCTGAAAGTGGTGAGAGCCAACAGGGGTCCTGGGGGCTGGGCCTCTGCCCTGGAACCTAAGGAGAGGGGGAAGCTGGAGCCAGGCGGAGCCAACTTCAGGACAGTCCAGCTGCCAGGACAGGGGTTGCCTTGGTGGCCGCTGCACAAGGGCCGGGCTTCAGGCCTTAGGCTCCACGTGGACTCCAAGGGCAGGTCATGAAGACACCACAGTGGGGGCCAGAAATGGCCACCGGGCACCACTGGGCAGGCCAGGTCTCCATGGGGCAGCCCCCGAGGAGCCTTAGCCTTTGTGGGTTCCAGGCTGCCAAGCAAAGTTGTCAGGGGTGCCACCCCCTGTCCTTGGCCTAGGGAGCCTGTGCTTGGGAGTCTCAGTGAAGCTTTCCTATCTGGGGTCCCTAGCAGGGGGCGTGGGGCGGGGGCAAGGCGGCAGCTCGGCTTCCTCAGGGCCTGCCCAGCTGCTCAGCACCGGGAACAGCTCCCACACAGGAAGTCAAAGCTGGGCCTACAGCCAGCCCACCCCAGCCCAGCAGGGTCTCCGCAAGCTCTTGCCCTCCCTACGTGGCTGTGTGCAGCCTCAACCCCACATCTGGGCTGAGCGGGGAGCCCGGGGACTGGGAGGGACCCCCAGGTACCTAGTAACTCCCAGAGGCCAGGCCCAGCGGGCCTCTCTGCAGCTCCCCCCAGCCATGCCCACCCTGGCCACAGAACAGGGCCCTGGGGGGCCTGGGCCCAAGGCCACAGCAACAAAACCCACATGCTCTGCACAGCTCCTCGCTGTGATCGATGAGAAGGGCTCCTTCCCGTGGCTCTTGAGTCAGAAGCGCTGCTGAGCACCCACACATCACGAAGGTGCAGGGGGAGGGCGCTGGAGGGAGGAAGCCGCTGCGTTGGCTCTTCCTGTCAGGAGGGAGCGGTGTGACGCGGGACCTGGAGCCAGGGTCAGCGGGGCGGCCGGTGCTCCCTGCCATGAGGTCTAGAAGCAGCCGCAGGAAGTGCCTCGCTCTGGGCTTCCCCGTGGGAGGTCAGGAGGGGCCCCTGCTCCAAAAAAAAACAGCACAGGCAGCTGTGGCCTCTTTTAAAAACTCTATTTGGTGCGTGCCCGTACGTGGCGCTGCGTCCCGCCAGACATCCCTGTATACATCTCTCTGTTTATATATATATATATATATATATATATATATATATATATATATGTATATATATATATTTAAAAATATTTAAGCAATCAAACAGATTCCGATTCTATCGTCTCCTAAGTCAAAACTGCCTTGCCTCGCGGCCGCGTGCACCCCTCAGACCGGGGGCGTGTGCCAGGTCCCAGCAGTACAATATAAATACGTGGATTCGAACGCANCACAGGCAGCTGTGGCCTCTTTTAAAAACTCTATTTGGTGCGTGCCCGTACGTGGCGCTGCGTCCCGCCAGACATCCCTGTATACATCTCTCTGTATATATATATATATATATATATATATATATATATATATATATATGTGTATATATATATATAAAAGGTCTTCAGCAGTTAAATAGATTCCAATACGAACGTCTCCTAAGACAAAACTGCCTTGCCTCGCGGCCGCGTGCACCCCTCAGACCGGGGGCGTGTGCCAGGTCCCAGCAGTACAATATAAATACGTGGATTCGAACGCAGTCTCCCTGTGGCGCTAACACACTCCTGACAAGTGCTGAGCGGACGGTCGCGCAGCTGTGGCGCCTCACTCGGCCGGGACCTCGTACTTGAAGATGACGCTGAAGAGCCGGCCGCCCAGCCGCTCGGCCAGCCACGCGTTCTTGACGACGGCCAGCTTGAGGCTCTCGCAGCGCAGGGCTGCGTGGTAGTTGGTGTGGACAGCACGGCCCATGCCCTCGATGACCACCAGGTCCGCGCCACGCTCCCGCACCAGTGCGGCCAGCCCCTTATCCAGGCGGCTTTCAGGAGGAAGGGGAGAGTCAGACTGGGTGAGGGGACCCCAAATTCCACTTCCCACGGAGCGCAGCGACCAGCGTGAAGGCTGAAGCCCCACCCCTCAATTCCCTGACGTAAGCGCCTCCAAACCCAGCCTCTGCCCGGTGATGCCTGAGCCCGGAGCCCCTGAGAGCAGCTGCAGTCTGTACTCTGCCCCAGATCCCCCGAACTCTCGGGACTGATTCCTCGGCACAGATGACGCCCGCACTGGAGAAGCCCACCAAGCAGAGCGGACCAGCGGCCTGGCACTCAGCCTGCTTGTTTAAGGGGTGTTCCTTCCTCCTCTGCAGTCAGGAGGATAGAGAGCACCTCACGCCATCGACTAAGGACCCCCAGAACCACAGAAGCTGAGTGGCCACAGGGACACGGGCCCCTCCTGCCTCAAGTCCCCCAGCCCAGCCCAGGTGGAGCCACCTCAGACCCTGAGCCCATCCACCCTCCCAGGCCACCTTCGGGAATGGTGTCTCTGTCCCCTCCTGAGGTCAAAGCAGGCCTGGGGTCAGGAGAGGCGGTGGGGGCAGGGCTGACACTGGTGTCCCGCACGTGCCTGGGTGCACGGCACGGAGGGCATGGAGTTGGGGGTGAGCGGGGTTCAGGCTGCGGGGTTACCTGAGGTCGAGGCACGGGGAGCTTGAGCCCGTCTGCACCAGCAGCAGCCTCTCTTCCTGGAGCGCAGAGCTGCGGACACGAGGCAGTCAGCACCTCCAGCGGGGTCCCAGGAAACTCCCCGTTCAGTGATGAACCCCACGGCCCGCTCCGCCCAGCTGGTGTCCCTCCCTTCAAGGCCCCCCAGCACTGGCCGCCAGCACTCACTGCACGACAGGATCCATGCCTGCAATGCGCTCGGCCACGATGAGGGACTCGCTGTGGGTCACGTCGTTCAGGGCGGGGCCGGAGTTGCACGCCAGGATGACCTGCAGGAGGAGGCCCGGGCGCTTTAGGACCCTGCGCCGGCCCAGCATGGCCCCTGCGTGCTGGCCGCCCCTCGAGTGGCCGGGCGGGGTGAGGGTGCTGTACCCAGCGGGCCTGGCCAGCCTCCTGCGGCGAAGGCGCAGGGACCCTGCCTGACTTTGCTGCTCTGTGGCCTCTGAGGGAGCCGAGCCGAGGGGCCGAGCAGAGTTCAGAGGCTGCCCTTGGGAACTGCCGGCCTCTGATTGGCATGACGTCACAGCCCAGAGCCTCCCTGCTGTGAGCGCCCTCCAGGGGCCTGGCATCAGCCCTGGGCTTCAGCACACGGACCCTCCCAGCATTCGAGGGCTCTGAGCTGCCTCCCATGCTGCCGCCTGCACCTACCTGCTGGGTCCGAGGAGCCTGACGGCCAGAGGCCCACAGCAGCGCCATGCCCACCAAGAGCAGAGAAGCCCAGGGGAAGGGCCCCGCCCCGGCACCTCGCCACTCACCTCCGTCCCTCTAAGGAGTAGCTCCCTGACAAAGGGGAAGACTCCCAAAATGATGTCTATTCCACTGTTATCTGCGAAAATTAAGGCACATTTATGAGGGGGCCCCTGTAAGACAAAACCAGGACGTTCAGTTGGGAACAGGCGCAGCCAAGCCAGTCAGACCCCACCCCCGCCACCCGCCAAGCTGCCCGTAGGGCCTGAGACCAGGGCTTCAGGGCTCCAGAGATGCCAGGGACAGGCTGGCCTGCAGGGGCAGTGCCTGTCTCTTCCAGCAGGCTTTGTGCTTAGGGCAGGTGACCTAAGAAGCGGCCACACCAGGAGGGCAAGAGCGGACCAGGGGACACTAAGACCCTTGGCTCGAGGGACTGTGAGACTCTAACAGGCGGGGAGGGCCACGCGGGCAGCCCACGTCCACTTCCCTCCAGTGACCACCCCCCTGGGCCCCACGCTGTGTCCGCAGGGGCAGAGGTGGGAGGCCCCTCCACGTACCTTTAATCTCTGAAGCCACTTGCTGTAGGAATCCACAAGCCAGGGTCTTTCTGAGAGACAGAGTAACACAAGATTAGCCTGGTGCTCCAGGTCAGGGGTCAGGGGTCAGGGGTCAGGGAGACCCATCTTCAGGTGTCTGTCTCTCCAGGAAGCAAGTTCTCCCCGCCCCCCACCAAGCCCAACTGACAGAGCCGTGAGCCGCAGGCATCTGTACCTTGTAACTTCCTCTTCGCCTCTTCAAACCCAAAGTGGGGGTCGGACTCAAGGACACTGCATGGAGGAGAAAAGAAAGCTGAGAAAACAAAACCCTCCGCTGATATGCCAGCGCGGACACCCCACGCACTCCCAGGCAGAACAGACGCAGCGTTCCTGACACACGGTGATCAGCGGGGGCTCAGGGCCGCCGAGGAAAGGTGTTTCTCAAGGTGGACCCGGAGCCGTGGGGCCAGGGAAGCGTGTCGGTGTGCTCGGCGCCTGGCACCCGCGCAGGCGGGGTGAGGAGCCCCCAGCCACAAAGCCAAGCCCGCAGGTCAGGACCGCCCTCACGTTTCCGACAGTCTTCGGGAGGGGCCCATGTCCCAGAGAGGCAGCCATGATGGGGGCGGCGCTCTGACATCCACGTGTGAAGACACGAGTGGGACCCAGGGAAGACCAGGAACCCAGGCGTCTCCCCCCCAGCCCCACATGCAAAAGCAGAGGCCACGAGAGGTGGTGCGGCTGCCCGGGAGGCCCGGGGCCTGGAAGCAGCTTCTTCAGGAGTGGAGGCAAATGGCTGTGGGAATGGGCCATTGCCAAGACTCAGAGCCCAGGAGACAGCGCCACGTGCCGTAGAAACGTGCCTGCCCCACAGGCCAGTCTAGGGAACGCCTCTGCAAAGCACCGTCCGAACACCACAGCAGGAACGTCTTATTCCCACCACATGCAGGACACACGAATTTGGGCTGTGACAACAGAAGATGTCAGCCCCTGCCAGGCACGGCGGCTCACGCCTGGAATCCCAGCACTTTGGGAGGCCAAGGCGGGTGGATCATTTGAGGCCAGGAGTTCAAGACCAGCCTGGCCAACATGGCAAACCCCCATCTCTAATAAAAATACAAAAAATAACCAGGCATGTTGGTGCACATCTGTAATCCCAGCTACTTGGGAGGCTAAGGCAGGAGAATCGCCTGAACACGGGAGGTGGAGGTTATAGTGAGCCGAGATGGTGCCACTGCACTCCAGCCTGGGCGACAGAGCAAAACTGCCTCCAAAAAAAAAAAAAAAGGAAAGAAAACATCAGTCCCGAATTTCAAACCCACACTCCTAGGCCTCCATGGCACCTGTGCTTAAGGAAGGTGCCTCCTCAGGGCCTGAGTGGGCACAGACAAGGGCGCGGCCCCGGCACAGCCCCAGGGGCGGCTGCGTGTGCACTCCCTGGGCCCCAAAGCCCCAGCCACCAAGAGCCACATGACCCCCAAGGGACCCACTCCACCTCCTCCAACGCGAGCCTGGGGCAGGACAGGACCCACAGGCCGCAGAGCCCGCCCTGAGCCCACAGACACCTACTCAGACACAGCTTTGGCCCCCCAGTCGAAGACGTTCCCCGCCAGGAGGCCTTTCACCAGCGCCAGCTGCCGCTCCTCCCAGCCCAGGGCGTCCAGGGAGCGCACGACCCTGGGGAAGCACCGCAGCGCCACGCCGTTCTCCCGCTGCTTGACCTGCGGAGGGCGCCAGACACCGGGCCTGAGTGGACATGCAGCCTCAGCCCGTGGGGCGGGCTGTCCCCTGCTCTCTGCCAGGCTGCGTCTCTCCAAGTCCCCAGCAGAGCACCATCCTGGACCCAGCCCGTTCCACATCAACCCCCTAAGAGCATGTGCTCAGGCCCCACCAGGATACCGCCAGGCACAGCATCTGGGACGCCCAGGCACTGCAGCCAGGGCACAGCTGCGCGGGGCTCTGAGGATGACGCCCAGGACAGCTTCAGCCCCCATGTGACAGAGCAATGGCCACATGGCCCCACAGGTGCCCACAGCCCTGGCCCCCAAACCCCTGACACCCAGACTTCCTCAGTCACAAGGCTGGGTGCTTGAGAGGAGGAGAGGAGGGTGTGGCGCTGGCCCCTCTGGGAGGGGTTGGGAGGGGCCCACGCTGCTGCCACCGCTGCCTCCTGGCAGAAGGGGCCAAGGAGGGCTGTGGCCACCAGACTCGGGGAAGCAAGACAGATACCTGGAAAGGCCTGGCTCAGAGGGCTCCACCACCCCGCATACTGTCACGACAGGAGGCCTCCGGGCACTGCCCAACTTTCTAGGAGAGGGCAAGGGTGGCCCAGGGCCCCTGCCCATGAGGGGCAGGCAGTCCCCAATCACAGTCCCCCACCCTCGCAGACGCTGGGAGGCCCTTAGCTCCCACAGGGAGGTGGCCTCTCTCAGGTACACACGCCCAAACAGGGCTCCCACTCTCCTCTCCTCCCGTCGCCCCTCTTCTCTCCTGTCACCCCTCCTCTCTCCCCTGTCACGGCAGTCCCTGTCCCTAACTGGCCCTCACATCTGTGGGATCACCAGGGTGGCTCCCAACACAGTTACTCGGCAGATGCTGCCAACAGAGGCCCCTGCTGGTGTTGAGTCAATGCCAGAGTCTGGCCGCTACCAAGCCTGTGTGGCCTCGACAGGACACCCTGGGCCAGTGGGACAGACACAGGACAGGATGCCCCGAGCCAGCAGGACGGAGACAGAGACAGGACAGAGATGAGACAGGACATGTGGCACTGGCAGGACGGGACGGGGACGGGACGGGAGGCACAGCAGGGCAGGCACAGGGGAGCAAGGCAGGCCTGGGCGCCGCTGCACTTACTTTGGAGTAGGGGTCGGGGAAGTTGAACTCGTTCAGACAGTGCTCCCTGGTGTCCAGCAGGCTGCGCACAGTCAGGGTCCCGTAGGCACTAGAGACAGATGCGGCAAAGGGTGCTGAGCAGGGCAAGCTTGGCCGGTGGCCAATCACCCACCCGTGTGCAGATCCTTGGTGGTGCCACAGACATCCTGGGGGCGGTGGGAGCCCTCTGAGCCAAGCCTTTCTAGGCAGTGCCAACGCCGCCTGAGGTGCGGCCCGAAGGGACTGTGCCATTGGGCCCACCGCCACCCCCGAGCCAGCCCAGGTCAGAACGCCAACACTACAGCATGTTCTTAGAGGAGCAGGAGCCCTCTCAGCAGGAGAGGCGGTCACGCAGCAGGACACCGGACACTTACAAGGGCTGCTGTCTCAGGGTCTGCAACTTGTTCCAGTACTTCTGCCGGAACTTCTCTGCCCTCTCGGCCGCATCTGCGGAATCCGGCTGGCTCGCCACTGCGCGCTTCACTACCTGGCAGCAATGGGAGGAGGAGTCAGCCAAGTGCTGGCCCTGCTGCTTGAGAAGTCCCCACACGTGACAGCAGGGGGCCTGGGGGAGGGTGGGGGCCAGCTTTGGGGCCTACCCAGGGCAGGGTGGGGGCCAGCTGTGGGGGGCTCAGGGCATGGTGGCAGCTGGCTGTGGGGGGCTGCCCAGGGCAGGGTTGGGGACAGCTCTGGGGAGCCCAGGACAGGGTGGGCGCTGTCTGTGGGGGGGGCTGCCCAGGGCAGGGTTGGGGCCAGCTATAGGGAGCCCGGACAGGGTGGGGGCTGGCTGTGGGGGACTGCCCAGGGCAGGGTTGGGGACAGCTGTGGGGAGCCCAGGACAGGGTGGAGGCAGGCTGTGGAGGGTGTCTGGGGCATGGTTGGGGCTGGTTGAGGGGGGCTTGGGGCAGGGTGGGGGCCCGCTGTTGGGGTCTGCCTAGGGTAAGGTGGGGGCTGGCCATGGGGGGCTGTCCAGGCTGTGGTCAGGGCAGCTCCTCCTGGAACAGGAAAGGCTGAGGGTGACAGTTCACAGTCACTCTTTGACATCTGCCCCTCCCAGCTGCTCTGGGAGACAGGAGCAAGAATGACCCTGGCCCCTCAGTACCCAGGAAACCCCAGGCTAAGATCCATGTCCTCAGAATGGAGCCCCTGCCCTGTGCCAGAGACAGGAAGTTCTGGACGCTCAGAGCTCACTCTGGGTCCTGGGCAGGGCTGGGACTCCTCCCTCAGGACACGCCCCAGCAGGACCCGGCCTCTCCGAGGGCTTCATGAAGGGGGCATGCTGCTACCGGGGCTCCCTGGCCCGAGCTGAAGCAGCCAAGCCCAGGGCCTAGCATGTGCCCCCTAGGCCCACCCCAGCCTTGGAGAAGGTGAGCAGCAGGAGCCAGGGCGGCCTCACCACGAGCTTGTGGGGGCTGGAGGGGGACTCGCCCCACCCTCAGAGTCAGGGTCCCCCAATCCTCCCTGCGCCTCAGTCACACAGCTCAGAAGAGTCTACTAAACTGCTGGCTTTTTGAAGAATTGTGATAGCTGGCAAAAGCATCTGCTGTCCTTAGAAGCCATCTCGTCCTAACTGACCCAAGTGACTAGGAGCGGGGTCACCGCTCTCACACTCAAACGCAGGTCAGGGGACTTCTGGCAAACACTGGGCTGTCCCCCTTCACCACGCCGGCTTGGCCCCGGGGGCCTGGGAAGGTTAACCCCAGCCGAGACGGCGGACAGGGCGCTCACCCCATCCAGGGCCTCCTCAAAGCAGGTGAGCCAGTATTTTCGGGCCAGAGCGTCGTCGGTGAGGTCCACCGTGTCAGGCACATAGGAGGGCGGGTCCAGGAGGAGCGGCAGGCTGACCAGCGGCCTCTCCAGCCGGTCCATTTCCAGCAAGTCAAACTGGGAAGACAGGCAGTGGCAGGGTGAAAATGTCACCACGGTTCAGAAAGACCCAAGCCATGCTCAGAAGCTTCCACTCCCTAAGGAGGAAGGACAGGTACCGCCTTCTTCCGCCATGTCTTGGCCAGATGAGACCTCCACCTGGGTTCCACCCCGGGCACTGCCCTCAGCTGCCCAGTGGTCTGAGCCAGATACTTTGACTTACCCCCTGGTTTGACCTTGGGGTTGGGTCTGTTCCCACCACACAGCCTCCTGCCCCCATCATCTCCCCCTGCAGCCACCCCTCCCCCGATCACCCCCTCTGCAGCCAACCTCCCCACTGTCCCTCCCCAACCAACCCTATGTAACCCCATCGCCTCCCTCTGCAGTTACCCTCCCCCACCATCCCTACAGTAACCCCCTTCCCATCGCCACCTCCCTGCAGCCACCCTCCCCATCACCCCTGCAGGTACCTGTCACCCCTGCAGCCACCCTCCCCATCACCCCTGCAGGTACCTGTCACCCCTGCAGGTACCTGTCACCCCTGCAGCCACCCTCCCCATCACCCCTGCAGCCACCCCTCCCCGTCACCCCTGCAGGTACCTGTCACCCCTGCAGCCACCCTCCCCGTCACCCCTGCAGGTACC